TTCGCACGGAGGATCTTTTAACCGACCTCTTTACAGTTAAAGAAGATTTTGGGTGGGGGATCACTACTGTAACTACCAAGGAAATTTAGGCGAGGAATGAAGTAAGAATACCGCAAAACAAAGAAAAGAGGTCAACTACATGGAGTACACGAGTTTGGGATGAAAAGCTCATTATAAACCTTCTGGATCAGTCATACCGTGAAGTCACTTCACACTGACCTATCCTCGCAAAGAGTGAGCGACGTACAGGGGGAAATTGTGTCCGAATTGTCTTGCAAGGATCAGGCGGAGGATCGCAACAGATAAGGCGATGACCCACTAACAAAAAAAATCCGCGAATATGACGCAAAAGAAAACACTGCTCAGTTTAATTTCAGTAATTGTAGCATCGTGTTTAATATTTCCAAGTAAACATTTGTAAATTTTTTATTCATGAGAAGCTACACTCTTTTTTATATAAGAATGTGGCTTTCCGGTCCGAGCTGAATATTCTTATTTTTCTGACGATTTTAGGCTGAAAGTATTCTTGAATTAGTCTTAATTATAAATCATAGCTGCTTATACTGGTATTTCCGCTTTAGAGTGTATTGGGTCAGTAATTTCAATTACTAGACAGTGTTCTTGCCGTTACGGAATTCTGAAACATATTAAATTGTGCTTTATTTACAGATTTTCAAAAACAAAACTGAGTCCTTTTCAAATTCTCAGCCACGGCTTTATTCTTAAAATATTCTTAAATTTCGCAAACTTCAGCCTCAATATTTTTATAAAATATATTCTTATAGAAAAAAAACGAGCGTAACTAAATTTCGAGGGGATTATCTAGCAAGAGGGATTAGTGTTCCAAAACCGGCTGAAACGTGTTCCAAACAAATCCTGTGGGAGATAAACTCTCTTCTTATGTAAAAACTTCTTTTAGCCCAATAAATTTTCTTTGTCAGGGACCACGTGAGTGAAAGCACAGGCATCTCCGTCTAGGCCAGATATTCCCGTTAAAACTTCCTTTAAACGATGGTTACTAAACATGACGGAAATTTTGAAAAGACAGCCTGTGAGTCACCCGACTCTCAGCAGTTACAACTTCGTAACGCTGACTATGATGTGAATATAGCAGTGCAATACAGACACCAACTGCAAATCTTGATATACGATGAATGAACTTTACTGCAAATGGCCATGGGCTGTAACAGCAAACTATTACACAAAATACACGAAAAGAAGAACTATCTTTTTTTGACAAAAAACCCTATTGTCTTACACACAAAATCTATAAAAAGGCCTAGCCTATGTCACCCAAGTCTTGTTCTTGTTCATGTTAATTTGACTTAACAGAGTGACACAAGTCTTAGTTCCCTCTACTACATGGAATTGTGTAGACCGAGAAAGACTGCGTGAGGTATGTGTCGTTCTTCCTATTGTGCAAGAGCCGCATTCAGTAATTATCTTATTGTAATTATATTCATTGAAAATAATGTTTCGAAAGCGCTAAAATATATAAAATTTATTTCAGTATCAGCATGCCCAGGTCACAACGTCAATGATTTTTGCTTTTATTTTTATTTTTTCAATTGTCCAGAGATGAAAAGTTATCGGAAGAAAGATGTTAATCTTCCATACGTTTGGTCATTCATAGCTTTTTAGATTAATTGCTGGAAGTAATCAAGTTAATAGAATCCGGGATTATATTATTTATATTGACATCTGTCATTACCTCCTGTTGGTTGAGGCGTAGAAACAACAGATGTGGATGGCATCATCATGGTAGTGGTGGTAGGTGTCATCGCTGCAGCCGTGGCCTCAGCGATAAGGTTATACTGTCTTCCTGAGATTCCCTTGCTAGTGTGCTTTGTTGTAAGCCCTGAATTGGAATCCGAAGTTGAATGCATAGCCCAGACGATAAAGACTGTAGTATTCATCTGTAAATCCAAAGGTAGACAAATGAAGTATGTAAAAAGCCGGCAATAATTGTGAGGGAAAACTACTAACAGAATGTGATTGTCGGCGAATTTCTGTAATCGTCCATCGTTCTACTAGTGATAAGTTAGCCGTTGTTCACTCGTCTTGCTTGTTTGGGACTGAGTCTTATTCCGGTTAAAGAGAGAGAAAGAGTGTCTCGCAAGGTTTCCAATCAAAGATTTGTGAACTCGTGCCGCTGGCAAACTCTCTAAGTGTTAATATATACCCATTTATACGCACCTTATAACTTCATCTGCGCTTAACGAGTGTCTTTTGGTCCATAACTTTCAAAACAACTGCTCCACAGAATGTCACTGATAACACGTAACGCAAAAGAGTATCGAAGTAAGACTGCACAATAAATGTCACAAAATCTACCTAGGTGGTCCCTTCAGGATTTTCTTTCTTAACGTCATCCTAACCATTTCGTACTTGCGGGCGCAAACAATAGAAACGTCATCATTACCTACCGATTCCTCGCGCCCCCTGTTCAAGCAAATTGAGATTTTTTCTGGTATACTGACTGTATATTTCAACTGTAAGTACTTTCCTTAATATACGCGCGAGTTACTAGAGTGCCTCCTAGGGATTTCGCCTTCTGGGCGAAATCTCTGCGGGGGCAATAAATAAAAAACAATTGAAAATAAATTAATGTATAATTGGGTCTTTATATCTGACTGTATATGTGACCTACAGGATACTGGAGCACCGACACGTCACAAGCACCACCGTCAGATGCTGACAACAACTTTGAGCTAGTTGACGCCACGGAGATGGGTGGATATACCAGCGTTAAATTTGAAAGAAATTTGACGACAGGAGAATCAAACTTAGATGTTCAGTTTATGGTAAGGTTGTACAACAAATATTCAAGGAGCGTGTGTGGGCGAACGCTAATAAGCACCGAAGGTGCAGGGGTCTACGGGGAAATCAGTGAAAAACCGTTTTCTGAGACTCCGTTTCACGGGCTTTACAAGACACTAAGTTATTATAGGAAATTTGAGTCTCATGGTTACAAGTAAATAATTACTAATACCATGCTATAAAACAGAAAGAGTTTTAGACTATTCGGTGATGGTCGGGGATAGAAAGCCTCCTTTTTGTCATGCTAGGTCAGTTGTACATATGTTTGCAGACGAACCTGCTCCGACGGTGACTTATTCCCGCAGAAATATGGAATCATACTCTTGCAAGCAAATCCCCTCTACCACCTTGGTATAAGGCCTTTTGCGCCCTCTGGCACAAAAAGATGATCATCGTTGCATGATGGGTGAAGGCGAATAGTTAATAACTATTTAGTGTGGCGCTGCTATAAAGGTCTGGCTCTGAGGTTATTTAAGACGGCCGGCTTTTTTATTTAACTGAAAATTCAGATTTATCTACATGGTTTCGAGACTAGGCGTCTTCATCCCTCAGGTCTAAAATGTGAAATAGGTTGACGTTTTGCTGCTTGAGGACTGTACTACAAGTTTTACGGGGACATGGGGACAAAGCACTTTAACCCAGGATTCAAGTTATTGATCAGTTCCATGCCTTTCAATATTTTACTTCGAGAACTTGTCCATTCCCTGCTCACAGATGTCCATCTGCTATAAAGTTTAAAATAAGTCTAGAATGCTCGAGCGTGAATTGATCAAACGTCCTTTTAATTTCTAAGGCTTAAAATGAAACTGGATGTAAAAAGGGAAAGAGAAATAGCGAAAAATTCAACTTCTAATTAAATCCTTTCTTATGTTTTAGAATAAACTATTCTCGAAATTGAGAATGTTTTGATCAAAGCTGTGTAAATAGAACTGAAAATGTGCATGGAACCTTGCGTTTCCTGTATTTATCTCACCTGTTGAGTGGAATATGTGTGAAAATCTTCATTATGAATCGGTATATTTCAAAGAGCTACACAACGAGCAAGAATACTATTGACCGACAATATACAGAGCGGGGGCAGCTGTAGTGTCAACTATTACTAGTTAATTATTAATCTGAGTTTCTAAAGCTCTCGTAAGCGACCACCTTCTATTGCTTTACCATGCGGCGCTTACGAGAGCTCAAGTTCTCATAAGCGACCAGCTCTAGTTACGACCACTTTTTCGAATCTCTAAGGTGGTTAGCCTTCCACGCAGACGTTCTTAGGGGTTCGTCACGCGCTCCTGCCCCACGAACGTCTGCTGAACCGAAAGATAAATTCCTTTCCCATTGTTCGAAAATATCAGCTGGAGATCACATGCAGATTATCGGAGATCCAATCGGAACTGTTGAAGTCAAAGTGTTCACAAGCCAACACATACGTACAAGCTCAGTAGAGTCTGATACGTGACCAAAGGTTTTTGCTCCGGAAGGCTATAAGGTGGTTGTGGAACTGATTAATTGTAAACGCGGAGGAATGGTAAGAAATGAAATATGGTAAGAGTAAGGTGTTAATTTGCGAAATTATGGGATTTGTCAGGATAATCCGAAAAGAGCAACATCCAAGAGGCCTACTTGCCAAAAGCAAGCATTTCGGGGCAAATTATATCTCAGAGATATTAGCCCAGTTATGCTCTGATGACTCCATACAAATCCTTCTAATTTTGACTTGGGTCTAAACGTTTAGACCAAGAGACTATAAAGGGGACAGAGAGGGCTTCCCCCATATACACCCTATTCCATAGGTAATTCGTCTCGAGTTATTTTTAACACCACAGATCTCAAGGGGGATTAGACAACAGCCAATCACATAGTGCGAATGTGTTCCGCGTGGATGACCCACGTTGAGAGCCACGCGTCCTTCACGAAATGACGCAGAACAAAATGGGGGAAGACGCGGAGAGCGATTTTGCTATTCCTTTTGTCGACGAAAACGACTACAGCGAGATTTCTGCGAAAGCTGTGTCAGCGAAACCGAAATTAAAAAAGAATCGCCCTTCCTCTCTTGTATAGAGCTAACAGTAGAGCAGGGAAATCCTTAACATACTGAATATTCTCTCAGGATCATTTATAATTTACAGTTTGAAGAGAGCAATTTCTGGTTTGATGTTTATTTTTTTCATTCTTTATATCGATTATTCCTACCCAATTACTTTGTCAATTGTAGGCGAACCCTCCTAAAGCTGAATTTCAAGGGACCATATTCAAGCTCAGAACACGGGTAATCAAACCCCCAATACATTCGAAAGCGGAAATGTCATAAGCTATAATTTATAATTAAGAATAATTCGAGAATATTTTCACCCTAAAATTGACAGAAAAATAAGAATACCGAGCCGGAAAAGCAACATTCTCAAAAAAAAAAAAAGAAATTCATACATAACAATAAATTATTATTATTGCTTGTCTTCTATCATTCAAAAATAACATTTATGCTTCATGTTCCTTTACATATTACGAAAGTTATTGATGTTGGCGGAGTCTCGCTTTGGGTGAGCTCTGTTTGCTGGGACACAAAATAATCACAAACCTATTATGGGATATTTTGGCCACAGGAGTGGCCGTTTATTAAATTAAAGCACATAAAGCTGGGAAAACCAGACACACAAGAATATTATCCCTGCAAAGGTGAGGGCACACCCGCCACTCCCTAGGGTAAAATAAAGCTAACGGGAGGAAAGGGAGGGAAAAATGTTTCTGACTGTCTTGTAATGCGAGGAAGGAGGCCTTGTGCCTCGCTTCTGTGACTTACATGACCCATAACATAAATGACACTTTCGTGACAAATCACCCGGATGACAGGAAACCCTCCTTTGCTGGTAGCTGTGATCAGTCACATTCAGCATAAAACCATTTGTGAAAGGTTTGAACCCAGGAGTCATTTCAAAAGGTTGAGTTTGATCGTCCGGGTGAACGTAGTCCTGAATAGGACTGTTGTTGTTGACAGTGACTGACGTTTCGACAACCTGTGCGGTAGTCATCTTCAGAGTCAAAGTGAGTTGTATCACGTCAGTTGATGGTATTATACTCGGGTTATTGATCTGATTGGTCAATTATGTCGCGATGTTATTGGTCGTCTGTCAGTTAAGCCGTGATGTTATTGGCTATGAAAACTCGTAATCAGTGATTGGTGCGTTTCGATCCGTCTATTGTCGCAGTTAAACAGTCGTCTATTGTTAGTCAAATTGTTAGTTCTCCAGTTGTTCTCTCGTAGTTAGTTTTGCTTGATCTCGTCAATAAGTCGTTTGTACGGCGCTGGTAACTGTTGACTACGATTCAGTGGCGTTTGTTCTAAGTTAATAAACCAGCTTTCTAAAGTAAGACGTTGATAGTAGTCTGTAGAATACGTTATACATGTCGCAGAGTCCCAGTCAATTTGATGTTTCGTCTTTAAATGGTGCAAAACATCGAGGAACAAGCCCTAGCTACCTAAACGCGAACTGTACCTCTTTGGTTACGTTACGTTGACGACACATTCACCGCCATACACAAAGACGGAATCGACGATTTTCACGAACACCTTAACAGACAGAACGCGGACATACAGTTCACCAAGGAGATCGAAGAAAATGGTAAGATACCTTTTCTAGACTGCTTCAGCTGCTGCTTGGTCACTCGCGACAACAACAAACTAAAAACGACTATTTACAGAAAACCGACACATACCGACCGATTACTAGACCAGTCTTCGTACAACCCGACCTCTCACAAGGCTACTACTATCCGGACTCTGACGAGACGAGCGCAACTAGTTTGCGCCTCACCTGACAGCCTACAAGACGAGACTGATTATCTTAACAACGTTTTTAGTAAGAACAATTACAACACGGACTTTGTTAGACGGAACACTCACAGTAACACTGATTCCAACTCTCACACCAACTTTGGCCCTGTTACGACAGCGACTATACCGTACATCAGAAGCACCTCTGAAACTATTGCACGTATATTACAACCTTACAATATACGTGTTGCGCACAAACCGATAACCACTTTACGGCGACTGCTTACTAATGTCAAGGACAAAGACAAACCGGAGGACAGACAGGGAGCAGTATACAAGATCAAATGCTGCGACTGCCAGGCTTCTTACATTGGTGAAACCGGCAGAAACCTAAGCACGCGACTGACCGAACACAAACGCGCGACGAGGAATGGTGACGTCAACAATCACATTGCTGAGCACCATTTAAAGACGAAACATCAAATTGACTGGGACTCTGCGACATGTATAACGTATTCTACAGACTACTATCAACGTCTTACTTTAGAAAGCTGGTTTACTAACTTAGAACAAACGCCACTGAATCGTAGTCAACAGTTACCAGCGCCGTACAAACGACTTATTGACGAGATCAAGCAAAACTAACTACGAGAGAACAACTGGAGAACTAACAATTTGACTAACAATAGACGACTGTTTAACTGCGACAATAGACGGATCGAAACGCACCAATCACTGATTACGAGTCTTCATAGCCAATAACATCACGGCTTAACTGACAGACGACCAATAACATCGCGACATAATTGACCAATCAGATCAATAACCCGAGTATAATACCATCAACTGACGTGATACAACTCACTTTGACTCTGAAGATGACTACCGCACAGGTTGTCGAAACGTCAGTCACTGTCAACAACAACAGTCCTATTCAGGACGACGTTCGCCCGGACGATCAAACTCAACCTTTTGATAAAACCATTTATTTCTTTCAGAAATAAATCTGATATTTTACCCTCTGAATATTAGGCCCCGTCCACAGGTATCGGGATATTTTTGAATCCTCAACTTTAATTTCATCATTCCGATACAGCTTCCTTCAATACGTATCGGGTCACTGATTCCGGCATATGAATCAGCACCTTTTTGAATCCGCTCTCTAGAGTGGAAATTTTTGAATCCGCTATGAATCCGGAATCGTCTGGACGCTAAATCCGGATATAATATTTTTTTATCCGGTGACGTAATAAGATCGAGCCCAGTTCTTTACCGTGAATACTCTATTCAAGACGAAAACCTCGTCTCTTTTACCCGTCGAGGAGTCAACCTTGCTCTTCGCATTTTTCTGACTTCTGCCCGGCTGAATCAGTCATATTTCGCGCGCTTTACGACGCATGCTTAGCTTTGTTGCCAATTTTCCCAGAGGAGTCCTGGGTACTAGAGTGAATCCTGATACGAGTCGGATACGTGCCGGAGACGGCAAATTCGATTTGAATACGGATACGTATGGACGTGGAAATTTTCAAATCCGCAAAGAAATATTTGCGGATTAAAAAATATCCAGATACGTACAATCCATCAATACTTAAGATTGAAAGTGCTGTGTATGTACGCAAGGACAAATAATTAAAAAACAATTCTGACTTGACTCCGTTTGCACAGTTTATTACATCAAATGTAAGAATACAAAATCATATCATAAACTGAGACGAAAGCTAAAAATTACGACTTAAAGACTGTTAGTAAAGGCTAATGAAATCACTACATGTACTTTATCTTTACGCTAAATATTTGACAAATAGTACTAAAAAACAAAGTAAAGCTTTTGGAGCCTAATTCTGAGGAAAAAATTCCAGTTAAGTTCAAATAGAAAAAAGGGGGCAACAAAGGCCGTTCTCTTTTCACATTCTTTAATCCTGACAAAACCATCGATTCGATCTGTTTGTTTGGAGAAAAGTCAAACCGACTACAGTGATTTGTAAATGAAGAGCATGCTTTCAAGAACGAATCTTTGCATTAATTTGAACTATCCGGATACCAAAAAAAAAACAAAACACGATAAATTCAAAGATCTGTTTCAGACCCAAAGTGCTCATCAAGCCTTCATAGACTTGAAGTTCAAATCTTATTCAGCTATCTGTGGAGTAATCCGAAACAACATCTCTACCAAAAGAGCTCAATCAAAGAACTATTGCAGCCTTGAGACTATGTTCAATCAGCCCTTGAATGAAACCAGTTTGTCCCTAATTTAAGACAGCCAATTAAGTCCTCAGAAAGGTACAATATTTCAGTTACTGTCAAACAGTGACCCCATTTTGAAGCCTAAAAAAAATCCTTTGAATTTACTAAACTGCAGCTGCAGTTAAAATGACAGTAAAATTTTGACCGCGGTAAATCACTAATTTAACACGACACCATTGAATGGATTTGGTATGCGTGACCAAATTTCCGTATAGGGTGAATTTGCATCGCGTGATTATGCACTATCACATGACTGAATAAAATAGGAAAAAACGAAGCAGAAAAAGAAAGCAAAAAAAGAAAAGTAAATTAAAAAAAGGGGCGGGGGGAGGATAAGTGAAAACAATAAAAATACAGAAAAGGTATGGTTTGAATCAGAATCGTGATCCTTCCGTGAACGACGAACAAAAAAACGTCTATCAAAACACATTTTATGTGTTGAAATAAAGAAATTACAAAGTCATAACGATTTAAATGTTTAGTTGCCGTGAGTCTCATTTAAAGTGGTGTAAGTAGCTGCACCTAAAGGTATCTCATTAGGACACCAAAAAGACAGCAATGGCGGCCAGGATCGCAGAAAACATACTTGCTGCACCTATGGTGGTGGAGGTACCTCCTGTTCCTGGAACCAGAGTGTACCTGTCTGGCAGAATTCCCCGGGCGGTGTGCACAGCAATATCTACATTTCCATCCGAAGTGTCGCGCTTGGCCCACGCAATCTTGACATCAGTACCAGGCTACATAAAGAAATATGTAAGAATTTCATTAATTTGCTATTTCAATGTTGTTTTCAACCTTCTGAAAGAGCAGCAAGTTCCTAAGACCCTGTTTATGTGGAGAAAACTTGTTCCAGGTATAAGGGTCACTTGGGTGAGCCAAATTTTCCTACATTGACTTGGCGAAATGTTAACGAAAATCAAATAGAGGGCTCAGCTAGTAGGATGACACGCCTATCCAGGTTACATATTTCGATGGTAGGGTCACCCTTCTAGTCGGGCCAACTTTGTTTCATATAATCAAGTTGGCTCGTCAAGCCGGGTCATCCCAGTCAAGGCGAGGCAATCGGAGCATGCACTTGCGCTGTTGTCAACTCTTGGTTTGTTCATATTAACGCTCCGCGCTACAGTTGACTCGGCTGGAAAGGTGACTCTCTGTCCAGGGAAGACTTTTCTCCATACAATCGAGGACTAAGTTAAACTCGGATGCCTATTCTCATTTGGGGCCGTCACAAAACGCCCCTTTGCCTGCGGGACCTGCGTGTTTAAATTCCCGCATCTGTGGATCCACAGGATATTGGCTGTACACAATATTCACGAGCTTAGTGTAAATATTCCTATTTTGTCCTGTTTTTTCCTCTCTTTGTTAACACGGACACCAGACATTAGGTTGTTGCACCACCCTCCTCCCCGCCCGTAAAGACTGCTCACTTTTGTACTTTTGTAACATAGTTTATAGCTGTGTTTAGGGATGTTCAGAATTTACCTTAAACTGAACATCGTTATCAGTGTCGCTTGTCTCTGGATCTCTCTCAAATACCACCGTTGTATATCCACCAGCCTCACTCGCCGATGTAAGAACAAAGTTTTTTGTATCCTTTGATGGTTTTCCCGTTGTTTTGCTCCAGTAATCCTGCGGGTAAAGAGACATAAGTCACAGCAAAGACCGTCACTTTTTAGGTTATTATAATCTTAAATTACAATTTCGTGTTCTGTGCAAAATCCCCAGAACTGATGGGCTCATTGAAGTTCTTGAATGGCCTTTTACGCACGATTTTCGAGGTCATAACGTCTTTCCCCTCAGCGAACTTTCGAACCCTGTCTATGATCGACTCAGTGTCCGTATTTTCATTTATTTTCGCCATTTTCATTTAATCGTTCACTTTCCTAATCCAATCAGATTTTTCTTCTTCGGGGATCGTGTCTTAAAAACTGCGTTTTCACGAATTGTTTTGTCAAAAATTTTTTTTTAGGAACTTGAAAAGGTTTACTGATTTTTCTTAAAAAGATTCTGTACATCTATATCGCGTTTCTATGGCTGATCCAGAGGGCTAACTTAGTTGTCGGTACAATTGCTGCTGCAGGCACAAAATGTGCGACATTTACATCATTGTTGGCGTAAGAGTATGTTCACAGTTATTATGGTCGCTATGGTGATCTCATTGTCGTACAACACCGACTAGTAATAGGCATTTTCTTAGTCCTTAATTTGTGAAAGCTATTCAATACACTGGCCCATCTGGCGTCAGTGAGATGCTATAAAAAAGGATAGTTCTTTATACTGAATGAAATCCATCCCACTTACATCAAGATAGTTGGTGCCGGAAGCGACCCCTCCCAAGGCAATGTCGTAATTCTTCATGCCGCTACCATCCCCTGTTGTAAAGGCGACTGCACACCAGCCAGTGGTTTTACATTTCATTGTGAACATCAACTTGTTGTTGCTGTACATCCAAGTCAGCATGAAATCATCACCGGCACTGACGGTCATGCCTTAACAAAGAAATAAGGATAAAAAAATCACAATAGAAACAGTTTTTTTTTTACCAAAATGCTAAAAATAACATACTAATTGGTTGACTTGAGCGACATTAACTTTAATGAACTGTTCTTTGCTCTCACGTAGTTTCAACGATTGTTAAGAAACAGATCATGCGTGATTTATTCCCCTCATACGTTGCCCGAGCTGAAGGCCGATATATGGCTTATTTTTCAGGGGATGTTAAAAAAAAAAAAAAAAAAAAAAAAAAAAAAAATTACCCTGAAGGAAAATGCATCCACTGTTCAGATTTCTTTAGTTTTTTTTTTTAACATTCTATGCTAGCACTGGTGGTATCAACAAGGTTCTCGGCTTTTTAATTATGTTAGTTTTTCAAAGTCGCATGTAGAATTAGTTGTTCGTAGTGAATGCTAAAAACAGCTTAGCATTATGTCGGGCGATTCAGAGTCAGAACTGCTTATCACTCAAGCAGTTTTAGCGGAGGTAACAGTTTAGGCCACTGCAATTGAGCTTTCGGAAAACAATTTTGAATCTTTTTGTGGGACTAGGAAGCAGTTGAAAATTTCAATTTTCGCACCGAGGATCTTAGCTTTTAACCGATCTCTTTACAGATAAAGAAGATTCCTTGTGAGAGATCACTACTGTAACTACTAAGGAAATTTAGGCCAGGAATGAAGCAAGAATACCACATAATACAAAGAGGTCAACTACATGGAGTACACGATACTGGATATTGTACCGTGAAGTCACTTCACACCTATCAAAGAGTGAGCGACGTACAGACGAGAGGGACTTGCAAGGATTAGGCGGAGGATCGCAACAGAAAAGGCGATGAACCAGTAACAAAGAAAATCCGCGAATATGGCGCCAAAGAAAACACTGCTGAGTTTAATTTCAGTAATTGTAGCGTCGTATTTAATATTTCCAAGTTAACATTTGTAATTTTTTTTCTTTATCAAAAGCTTAACTCTTTTTTTTATATAATAATGTTGTTTTCCGGCCCAGACATATTATTCTTATTTTTCTGTCGTTTTTAGGCTGAAAATATTCTTGAATTATTCTTAATTATAAATAATAGCTTATGGGATTTCCGCTTTAGAGTGTATTGGGGTTTCAATTACCAGTCGCTCTCGCCGTTTAGTACCCTGGGTGCCAGATTACAGATTTTCAAACACAAAATTGACTTTTTTTCAAATTCTCAGCCTCGGTTTTATTCTTAAAATATCCTTTGACTTATAATTGTGCAAATTTCAGCCTCAATTTTCTTATAAAATATATATACCCGGGTGTTTGAAAACCGGGCGGTTAGCAAAAATATCAACTCATTCTACTACTTGGCAATCTCGTTCAAAGGCCGAGTAAAAGCCTTTATCTGACGGCGGGCAGTAAGTTCATGGTCCCGAGAAGCACTCCAACGAGTCCAAATTTAAAATGACGCAAATTTTAGAACATTTATCAGTAATCTGACGCGAAGTTTCAAACCGGTGTCACTTCAGTCTAGAAATTTCTAAGTTGAGTAAACTGCAGCGAAAGAGTGCCTGGTTAAGGCTTACATAACAACTTAAATAGTTAACAAAACACTACTTTTTTCGCGGTCCGATAAACAACAGGATTTCGCATGGAATAGACAACAAACTGAATGAAACATAATGCACAAATTATCACCTTCTTATCTGCAAAAACCGGCCCTAGATCATATTTTCCTCAGTCGAGAATTGCTTTTCCAAGGTACAATCATCTAAGCTAAACACCGACGAAACAATATTAATAGCTGGTACAGGATATTTTGGCGAAACCGCAGTTCAACCACGCGATCACATACCTGTCAACACCATGCGGAAATCACACAATAGCATGAAATATTTTTTAGGGTTAATTAATAATTAAAAAAAGGGTGTGAGGAAATTTGCATATGTCTCGTATTAGCAGAATTATTGCATTTCAAACTAAAAAGTCGAATCTCGAGCGCGATTTACGCAAAGAAACTGACGTAAAATGAGTTACAAAGGGAAATCGGAAAATTCCTCACACTCTTTTTTAGGTCTTTTATCTGTCAATCAGGTGCAATAAAAAGGAAGTGAATATTTAACAACGCGAAAGGGCTGGAGCTTCAGCAGTAAACTCGATACCTCTGAGTTCGAGAGCAAAAAACTTAAGCGCCTTTTGAAATTCGATGAAATAAAATCTTTTATAAGGTAATTTAGTCTTTTAGCTTTAATTTGATATATAACTTGCCTTTGTAGCGAAAATACTCGCGCGACTAGAATTTTTTTCTGTGGGCACCTCGTTTTCCTTTACCGAGACCTTAATTTTCCCTTGCGCGAATATTTTTTTGTACTTCGCCCGCCACCCCCCCGTCATAAGTTTTCTAATGGTCCGTCCCTAAGCGAAATATCATCGAATAACTCGGAAAAACTCAGGCTATTGGCAAATAAACACCTCTGGACTTTTCTCTTTCACTCGTCTTATTCAAGTTCCCGGATGTAGAGCCACACGCTCAGTCTTGGCCCGGGTCAAAGTTCACCTGCAATTTTGCTCTCACCTACAGTCGACTCCCCGCATAACTCGAACCTCCCGCTAACTCGACGCAAATTTCAATTCCCTTCAGATCATTTTCAGTATAATTTTACCCTCAATAACTCGAACTTTTTTCTATTTCCCTTGAAGGTTCGAATTATCGGGAGTCGACTGTAATTCATTTGACTCCTAAGAGCCTGCTCCCGAGGCCAAAGACTTAGTGGTCACCTTAGAAAAGCGAACAATATCGTACCTTTCTGTCTCAGCCCGGATCAGGGTGATTCATCCGTTTAGCCAAATGAAACGAGAATATAATACGATATTGGACAATGCAGACTCTGTGAATCGTAATAACTTTGTCCCATCTCAAACCTTTACATGATGCTCCCCGGGAAACTTTTTGCTAAACGGCACCGAAACTAGCTTTAGGCGCGCACTGATTTCAAATAACTATCACTTGTACTAGTACACCTAAAGGGTAGAAATGCTGCCGTAGGCAAGGAATAGTGAAGAAAAGGAAAATTAAGTGTAAAGTTTTAGTAAAAGGTGATGTGAGGCTAAGAGGGCTTAATCCAAAATCTTTGTCAGTGATGACCTAAATTTAGAAATTATCTTCCTTTTGAGTATCGCGTTAAAGCCAAGGTCACTAACTTAATTATGAGCCAGTTTTTGTATTTTTCTAACGTGCTCGCGTCGCGTCAGAAGTGGCCAGATAACAAGTTGTCGATTTTTGATATGTATATCAATCATTCTCGCTTTCAACCGTGACTGAATGACTGAAACTTATTTTGAAGCTTTGATTTGGTGATACGAGCAAATTTTCTAACTATGGTGTTCAGTCTTTCTGTTCGCACAAAAATCGAGCGATTTCCACGAAACTTAAAATTCTTGAGTTGAAGACTGTTTATTTCATCTGCCAAGTTTAAGGAAATTTGTTCGACTGTGATCTGCGCTACAAGATAGGTTTGAGAAACGACCATGAAAACACAACATTAACTTGGCCAACCATGTCACCAATCAAACACTAATTTAAACAATTTTGGAGGGTAGTTATGTTCAATTTTTGATAAATACATGACACATAAATTTCGGGCTCGTTGCTCTAATGCTGCTTGTGTGTTTCCCTCTTAGAACAGAAGGAAATTTGCTTGGAAAATAGTAAAGGCTGCGGCTATATGGCCGGTAACCGGTCAAGATTTTCAAAACACTAAATGACCGGCAGTCCGATATTTTTTTCAATAATTTTTGTCAAATCGAAGAATCCCAGCCAGACCAAACTATCATACGTCGAGTAAGAATAGACTGAGAGACTTAGTTTATGATCTACAACTGTTGTCAAAGTGTAAGTCTCTTCAATTTTAAAGAAAAAAAAAATTCACTCGAATATGAGTGGATTCGGTCCCGGAGCATAGGGTCTGCATACCACAATTCTAACAACTAGACCACCGTGGTTTCTCTGCAAGATGGCGATTTTATTCAAATATTATAGCGTAAACCCCAACCCAAAATAGAAGCTAACCGCTAACCCTAATCGCCATTCTCAGGAATTAACCCTAATCAGTTTGGTTAGTGCTTCAGTTAGTATTTTCAGTGCTTAACCCTAATCACTATAGTCAAAATATCGGACTTATAATTTTGTGAAAATATCCTTGAAAGAAATTAAACGGCTGCTTGCTCCATGCAGTGATGCTATTTCTTTGTCCATATGCTACGCTATTTTGCTGAGTCTCAGCGTGTTCTGGTTTCCGAAAACCGACCCAAATATATAGAGGTTTCGAACTTTTCTTTCATTCTTCCTTAGCATCGACTATGATAAATTTATCATGAATGCTTTCGATTCTCGGTCGACAAGTGTCGGCCAACTGCAAAAGTATGCAGCACGTGCAAAGATTTTTTGTTTTCTAATTAGACCTGTTGTTTCTTTGCTTTAACGAGATTGCAAATTATTTAAATTGCAGTTGAAAATCAGTGTAAGAGGAAAGCACGTGGTAATCCACTGCGCATTCTAAATCTCCCATTCGAGCATAGCCACAATCCCTTGCGAGTCTACTGCGCATCCCAAACCTCCATTTACACTTAACCACAGTTCCTTGCGAGTCCATTGCGCATCCCAAATCTTTGAGTCGCGCATAACCACAATTGCTTGCGTTTGGTAAGAAAAAGTGATTGAATGCCCCTATAATGTAATTTTTTGCCGATTAGAGAGCTGCCTCGTTCGCTCGCTTCAGGCTCGCTCACTGCGGCAGCAATTAAAGAGAGAATTGTGGGTAGGGGCAAAAAAATAGGGAAGGAGGAAGGGAGGGAGGGGAGGGGGGGGGGTAAGATAGTAATTCTGTCTACATCCACTTCTACACAAATCCCTAACCACAAAACAAGCAAAAAAACGACAAAGGCAAACAACACAGTAAACAAGCTATTCTGAGACAGGGGAAGTTGAGAAAAATTACAAATTGTTTGCTAACCCGGTTTTCATAACTCCAGGTAGATATTCTTATAGGAAAAAAAAGAGTGTAACTCATATTTCGAGGGGATTATGTAGCAAGAGGGATTGTAGTGTTCTAAACAAATCCTGTGGGAGATAAACTCTTTTCTTGAATATGTAGACACTTTCTTTTGGTCCAATAAATTTGCATTGACACGTGAGTCGGAAAACACCCTTTATGGGCTGAGATCTTAAGAAAGGTGCAGGGAGTAATTGTCTTTCCCCGGAGGGGGGGGGACCCGATGAAAGGTTGGATAGAGATGTGAAACCGAAGCCTTCAAAACCTGACCCTGCTTAAGACAAAAATTGCTCATTTCGCTACCCTGTTTTATGACTCTGTTTCGTTTCGTTTTGCGTAGAGAATTATGTATTTTCTGAATCTAATATCATGGAACTTGGATTTTGGGGAAAAAAATGTTGGTGCTCGCAAATGAGGACCGCTTATCTTCAGCCTTTACAGTTTTAAACGCTTCCGGTCAATAACACACCCTGTTTAAGACTCAAGACCGTAAAAACTATACTCTGTTAAACGGCACATATCCGTCTAGGCCAATATTCCCGTTAAAACTTGCATTTAACGATGGTTACTAAGCATGCTGGAATTTTGAAAAGACAGTTACGCTGAGTCACCCGAATCTCAGTAGTCACAACTGGGCGGTAAGGCTGACTATGATGTGAAGAATTGTGTAGACCGAGAAAGACTCTGCGAGGTATGTGTCGTTCTTCCTATTATGCGAGTGCCGAATTCACTAATTATCTTATTATAATTCTAGCCAGAGTTTTGAAAACGTTACCGCCAAATGGACCTTTTGTGTCCAGCAGTTTTTTTTCTCTTAAGCAGCCATTATAAAAACTATGAGTGCAACCATTGCTCTTTTCTCTTCTCATCCTTTCTTCCTCCTCGCTCTTTCTTTTTCTCCTTTCCTTGTGGAGCTTATCAGGCCCAAGAAACCTGCCTTTTGACGCCTTTTCACCCAAATGACGGCAAATGTCGTTAAGTTGGTTTTCAAAAAATCGGCTAGAATTATATTCATTGAAAATATTTCGAAAGCGCTAAAATATACAAAATTAATTTCAGTATCAGTATGCCCAGGTCACAACGTCAATGATTTTTGGTTTTATTATTATTTTTTTCAATTGTCCAAAGATGAAAAGTTATCGGAAGAATGATGTTAATTTTCTACGTTTGGTAATTCATAGCTTTTCCTTACAAATTAATCGCGGGAAGTAATCAAGTTAATTAGAATCTGAGACTATTCTGGCACCCGTCACTACCTGTTGGTTGAGGCGTAGAAACAACAGAGGTGGATGGCATCATCATGATAGTGGTGGTAGGTGTAATCGCCGCAGCCATGGCCTCAGTGATCAGGTTATGCTTTTCTGGTGATATTCCCCTCATATTGCTGCTGGCACCGCCGTGCTGTGGCCCTAATGTTGACGACCCTGAAGTGGCATCCATATTCTGCATAGCCCAGACGATAAAGACTGTAGTATTCATCTGTAAATCCAAAGGTAGACAAAGTAAGTATGTAAAAAGCCGGAAATAATTTTAAGTGAAAGCTGCCAACTGACAAGTTTTCGAAGTAAACTATTGAATGATAAATAACCTGAATCAGGGGCGCATCCAGGATTTTTCTTAGGAGGGGGTGCACCACTAACTGACTGATGACGTAAAAATTTTAAAAGCGAAGAGGAAGAAGAGGGCTTTTGACTAGGAAATAACATAATGTGAACTGCTGAGAATACATATCAAACGATAGAGCAGATTTTGTATGTCTGTCAAGCGACTGCACAGTGTTAATTAGAAAGCGGCCGCAGGTCGCACCCCCTGCACCCTCCCCCTGGATCCGCCCCTGTGAATCCTGGGTTAAAATGCTTTACCCCCGTAAAACTTATGATACTTTACTAAAAGCAGCAAAATGTTAACCTATTTAATGTGTTAGACCCCAGGAATGGAGATGTCTAGTCTCAACACCATGTGGATAAATCTGAATTTTCAGTTATATGCGTATTTTGTTTTATATAGACACTGACCACCTAGACTAGCCTTTGATATTTGTGGGCAGTGAGAAAATAAAATTGTAAATATCTGGATAAACCAATAAAAATGAAAAAATGAGAAAAAATTATATATCCTGAGTGCAGGGGCAGATCTGTTTGTTACGAATGCCTAGGAGTCTTTTTCCAACGCAATATAATTAAGATATATGATATGATTTAATTTGCTTGAAACAATAAAGCTTAAGAAACCGCAAGTTCGAAAAGCCGGTTTTAAGGATGGTTTTTAAGTCACTTGCAACTTTTCTGGAATCGTTTCAACTCAGTTCCGGCTTTAATGAGATGCAAAGTAAAAGAATTTTAAATTTTACTTAGGCCTTCAGGCATGTATCTTTGATTAAGTAAAACTTAGCAGCTCTTATGTCCTACTTAACGACCTAGTGTAAAGACTACCAGTTTGTCTTGTAAAGTCCATGAAATGGAGTCTCAGAAAAGCGTTTTCCCCAATTTTCCTTGTAGACCCTTGCACCTTCGGTGCTTTATCAGCGTTTGCACACACCGCGCCATATTACTTTATATTTGTTGTACAACCTTACCATAAACTGAACATCTTTATCTGCTTCTTCTGTCGTCAAATTTCTTTCAAATCTAACGCTGGTATATCCACCCATCTCCATGGCTCCAAGTAGCTTAAAGTTGTTAACAGTATCTTCTGGTGGTGGTTCCTTGCGGACGCTCCAGTAATCCTGTCGGTCACATATACAGTCGGTTACACATACAGTCAGTTTGGGATATTTTGGTGTTAAAAATTGGACGTTAAGTTTAGCCTTGTCTATATCAGACAAAAAGACACTGATAAAACATTAATTTCTTTTGTTTTTTTCGTTTATAAATTATTAAGGAGACCACTTCTTATTGTTTTACCATGCGTTCGCTTACAAGAGCTCATTCTCGTAATCTGTAGCTCCAGTTACAATCACTTTTTCGAATTTCTAAGGCTGGTTGGTTACAAGAGCTTCGACTGTAATTTAAACAAGCGCTCACATAGTGAGTTTGGGATCCCTGTAGACGGGTCGTTTGCATTTTCACAAATAGTTGTCAAGTTTGTTTGTTTTTTCTTTGTTTTACCAACGTTTTACAATTTTATAAGCGTTCATTCTCAAAATTAGCAGTCTTGTTGCGAATCTTCTTGGATTTAATGGTATAAGTTTAAGGGTTTTTTTGTGTTTACAGTTTTACAGGAAACAATTCTTTGTGTTTCCCTGAAGTTTGTTGGAACTCCGCTTTTAGGCTTGGCTAGTTTATGTAGTTAATTGAAATTGACCGGACTGCTCCGTAGCGTCACCCCTTCCTCTTTTGGTGTCAAAGTTATGCCCAATTGAGTCTCTATAATCATGATTATGACTATGCACGGAAAAGTATGCGTTGACACGTGAATCCTTTGGAGATTTCGAGCGATCTTGCTAAGGGCTGAAGGATATTTAAATTCGTAAACGGTCTCCAGAGTAGATAAAATCCGGTAAACGGATAAATGACGTTCTCTCATGGAAAACCATAAAGAAATAAATCTCTACACAGTAACAAGTTCAGTAAAAAGACTGGGCCTTGATGCCTCTCCTCCTTCGTTTCAGTACAAAAGTATAAAATAGTTTTTAAACTATCATCATGGACTTGAATTGTTTGGAAAATAATTGTTGGTACCACACTTGTAGACCGCTCATCGTAAACCTTCACATTCTTTTATGGCTTCCGGTCCAAAAACATGCCCTGTTCAAGACGCTGAATAGTAAAATAGTGAAATTGTATACCGCCCTGTTTAAGACTCAAGACCCAGAAAACCGTACCCTGTTCAGCGGCACATATCCTTTACGCCAAATAAGGGAATGCCTGCCCTCCGGGGATCATTCAGGAAAGAGGGCATAATGAGTTTATTTGTTAGATCACATGTATAAAAAAGCTAAAACGTCATATCTGGAGTTCTTTATTAATGTTCCAGAAATAATATTTGTACAGACGGCGAACTATGCAGAACGGACACTTGTCCAGTCGGTCTTTTTGTTCTTGGTATCGAAAAGGTGGGATATTGATAACTCGTTTTCATGTTGCGTGTCTCCCAAAGGGTTGTTTTTGATCTGCTTTTACTAGAGTAATATCAAAAACAATAAATCAGAGTGCGTCAAACCAACGGACCTTATGTACATTCCAAAGATGTCTTTCATTATCAGGGATTTGTGAACAGATCAGAAATAATGGACTTCCATGGTCTTATATTAACGTATTGAAAACTTTGTGCTAGTTTTTAAATTCGTGCTCACCTATTTTTGGTTATCCATATGATTACAATTTTTTCAAACTTTTATAACTTTTTAAAAAAATTTCCCTTAGCACTTCAGTCAAATTTAAAATGCTTGAGTGAACATATTTATACAAATCGCTATATTTTGTCACCTTTGTCCACAGGAATACGGCAAAGCTCTAATGTTTTAATAATTCTGATAATTCAGGTACGCATAAGTTAAAAGAATCTTCCTGTAGGGCTAAATCAACTATAAAAATGTCTTAGCAGAAATAAAGAGACTAATTAAAAGGGCTTGTGCCATATGGTTATTTTTCACGTGCAGCCCTGAGGCAGATATTGCTTTGTCCAAAGAATAGAAACGCTACTGGTCTTCAATATACCCTAAAAATCCGGAACAAGCGCTTTGGTGTCCCAACTGATTTGTGTTTCTGACAAGAGTTATACTGCAGCAAAAGTGGAGAAGATAAGACGTGAATATCCTGAAGTCTGAAAGTCCAAAATGTCTGCAGAAATATTTAGCGTAGTTAGCACGCGATAGAGATAAATATAAGGCCACGGACATGCAGACGTTTCATGCTTTGTAGCTTTCGTTTTGTTGAACATTAGTTTATTTTCCCACTAAGCAGTTTTAATACAAATTAAAATCATTCTACGCCGTCTTTTACTCTAAAAAGACTGAAAAGATAGTGGGTATCTTGGCAATCAATTGAAAATTTTTTAAAATGTATTTTTTTCTACGAAGACAGCCAAGATGCAACACTGTCTTTCTGAGAATGCAAATTTTTGCTTTCCACTCCGTATTTCAGAAAAACAGTTTTCTGAAGGCGAACGAGGAGCCGATTAGTAATCGGCTCCTGGGCGAACTCACATCTTAGCCTAGAGTAACCCGCTCTGCCAAAGCGATCAATTTACTTGTCTTTTATACTTCATTATAGAAAAGTACAGTTGAGATATACAAAAACTTACTTTAAGATATGGTGTGTTGGAGGCGACCCCACCGGCAGCGATATCGTACATTTCCATATTTCTACCGGTATCAGTTTCTGTAAAACCGACTGCACACCAGCCCATCACTTTGCACGTCATGTTGAAGATCAGCTTGTTGTTGTCATACGACCAACGCAACATGAAATTGCTATGAGGATTAAACGTAGCGTAATTCAATGCATGAACTACATGGAGAGAACAAGGAAACAAGATAAGCACAAAAAATGCATAGCTTTTGAGGAACGCCATCGAAACAACCCTCGCTTCGGATGAAATTCCCTGAACGAATAGACAGATAAAGACGCGCAATGGTAATGAAACCCAAACTGACTGAAACACTGGCTTATATAAGTACCCCCAATTTAAATTACATGCAAAACTTTCGTCTATAATGAATTTGCATCATAAAAGGTGATTATCGTAAGTGGTAAAGATATTGTTTAGTTTTTTGCCTTGTCACGATCTGTTCAGTAAGGTTTCGTTTTTATGAAAACATTTTTCTCGCGATTATGTTTAAAATATTATGGAACCAATAGCTTTTAGCCAAGTTGTTTGTTCATCTAAAGTAAGTATACAGCCAGTGAAAACCTGGCATTGATTCTATCTATAACAACAAAATATGTTAAATTTAACCGGGTTTAACAAAATGAAAATTAGCATTACAAGAACGAAAACTGAACGACTGTTTTTAACGTAATATTCAAGTAAGATTTAAAAATGAAATAATCAGTTTCCTGTCCTACAAATATACTTTCCAAGTATTATAACATACGTTACAAACAACAAAAATTGCTTTAAGCAAAAAAAGCTCCTGGGTTAACAAGCTTTCAAAAACCCCGCACAATTTCAATGTGTTTAATCTTTTTCAAGTTTGTCCATTTATTTTACTATTTTACTTTATTTTATTAGCTTCACCAAAGAAAAAGAAACAAACAAAAACAAACAGAAAGAACGTTGGCAGGGACAACGGAACAGCTGTGGCCAATTACAGGAGGCCCATTCGTGCCTAACTATTTCATTTGCTGTGTTATACCTTTTTATAAAGTTTTGAGCGACTATTTTTATGTTTCACTCAGTTTGGTGGCAGTTCCTACTGTTAAAATTTGATAAAATTCGTGGCACAGCTCTTTTAACTTGTACTTTCATTTGTGCTAGATTTAGAGGCAGTAAATATTATCAGCTTATGAAGTGTAAGTATTGTTAAGATCTTGTTTGACTAAACGTGTGAAAGCTTTTGTGTGAATAGTAATAGATCACTTTCTGTCTTCAGTTAGCTTCAAATCACTGAAGGGAATCATAAAAACAGTAGCATTAAAGATTAAATCCTCATATCTTTAAGGGACAGACATTAAACAAAAATATTACAGCGGAAGTTTCACAGTGCAAGTTTGCATTAAGAAAGTTAAGGTAATTTCTATATTTGTCTTTTAAAAATGATATGCAGAAATTGTCACGTCCTTATTGGTCGGTATCTTTTGTTTATTATAAAAAATTGATTTCTTGAATAGAAAAATATTGCAGCTGCAAATCTGTAAATGCGTCAGCAATATCGGTGGGGAGATTGCGTTCAGCCTTTACGGTTTTATAAGTGGATGATATCAGTTTTAGATATTTTCCATCTTGCATACACAGTAAACCTTTTCTTGTTTGTATATGGACCTGATATTTACTGTATTATCCAAGCTTACGGGGTTAGGTACTAAAGCACTGGAAGTAGAAGCAAATTTTCAGCACTGCCTCAGGCGAAACATGCTTATTCTTGTCAACGATATTGTGGTCTTCGGCGATTATTTAATGTCTCCCATGTAGGGTAATTTATCATTGCCGTGGAGTCTCCGCCCTTTATCAAGCAAATTTTTTAAAAAAGGGCTGACGGGGACTCACCTGACCCCCAAGCCGGTTATTTTGAGCGATGAACCAGTGAAAACAAACTTTCGGAAAGTCGAGATTCCATTGCGCATAACCTTGTCGGTCGAAAAGCCGACAGAAAAGATATATAATATCTAGTTCTTTCTAAACGGCACTATAAACTCGGACAAATTTACGTTCAACCATGACTCACAAGTGCCATATGTGTCGCGTGAGTTTTCCTGCCATGTCCAACGAAAGCGCCATAAAATAGTATAAACATATTAAAACAAAAGAAGCAAGGCTGATTACAGTCGGGAATATTGATGGTTTTGACTATGACGTCATCAGAATGCAAAGTCAAAAAAGAGCGGTTTTACGAATTCTTATTTACACTAGGTTGAAGATAAATAGAAAATAAATCTTTTTACAAGTTTCCAGACCCGAAGCATGTTTCATTTCAAAAATACAGCGCTTTGAACTTCCGAGTTTTCACAGTGCGTGATACCAAACTAGGAATGCTGTCTCATTGAAAAAAAGTCTCTCCTCTTGATTTTCAGCAGTTTAACTATTTCAGGTATTAAAAGATGTGTTTACGCGCACGTATGCTAGATCTCGAGAGAGAAGGAAAAGCTTTCATAGAAAAAGTGAACTCCAGATGTTTTTGTTGACTTCCGGCGGCCATGTTGGTGGACAGTCCACCGACATGCATAGCGTCTCCATACAAAGCTCTACAAAGGTGCTAGCCTCCCACGCAGACGTTCTTAGGGGTTCAAAGGTGCGTGAAATGTTTCGGCAAATAACTCAGAAACTGTGGGCCACAAAGACCTGAGATCTGGACAAATTTTTTAGATATTAGTCTTTTATAACATTTCATTTTCTTGGCTTCTTCCACTAGACAGTTTCCAATTTATTTTTTTTTACGCCGTGTTTATTGCGTGACAGTGAAAACGAAGAATAGAGAATTTTTTTTACCAATATTTCGGAAGGCACGGCCTTCCTTCTTCAGGGTCTTACATATAATGAAGGGGTTAAACTAAGACGTTATGATTTGAAATTATTACAAACCGTTGAAGTAGTGATTGGAAAGAAATTTGTAATGTAAAAATAGTATAAATAAATGATAACAGATAGAGGATTACATTTCATCTTTCTTATTCATACCTAATGGTTTAAAAATTTTACCTCTCTCGATGAGGTATGCTTCTCTAGCTTTTCGTACACTGTCTCTATTAGATTTAATGAGCTCTAGTGGGATAAGTGTGATGTCCTTAGCATAGTGATCATTAGTAAGAAAGTGTTCTGAGATTGTGGTGGGTTTAGAGATATTAGATGGGTTGTCAACCTGGTCTGCGGTGTTCGATGAAGCGGTCTTTGAGTCGTCTTTGTATTGTTTGGAGCAGTGGTTGCATTGTATCATGTAAATGACGTTTTTGGAGTTACAGTCAATGTTATTAGTGATAGGTCTGGTTTCGGCTGTAGCGTGGAATGTGTATGAAGTTTGTCCGTCAGATATGTATTTACAAGTGAGACAGTTTTTACGCATGGGTATGAGCCCCGGGGCTAGTTGTGTTGGGTGAGATTGCGAAGTTTGGCCCTAACTAGAAAATTACCGAGGTTACTACTACGTCTGTAAGCTACAATGGGTGCAGATTTAAAGAAGTTATAGCAGTGGGAGATGAAAAGGATGTGAAAGTGTTTGCGAATAATGGATGAGATGGAACGAAGGGCTAGGTTGTAGGTGATAACCAAGGGAAAACGTTTTGGTTGTCCAGCGTGGAAGTGTCATGGGGCTTAATAAGTGCTTCTGTCCGTGTGATATTGTTAACTCGCTGTATTTCCCGTTGAAGGAAATAGCGGTTATAGCCACGTTTCTAAAGATACTCAATAAGCTCAGTGGTGCGTAGTGTGAAGGTCTCGTTGGTTGAACAAATTCGGCGAAGTCTAAGAGATAGACTGAAAGGAATAGCACGTTTGGTGCGTATGGGATGACATGACGAATGTAGTAAGTATTGGTGTTTGTCGGAGGAGGAGGAGTCCAAGTGCTTTTGTGACGAAATGGCCCGGATTAGGATTGGCTTGGGGTGGGTAGTCTTGAAAATATTATCACGCCCTCAAAGTTGTTGGAGCATGAGCCTAGCCATTACGTTAGACTCATTTTAGAACCTTGGGTTTTAATCAGTAAATTAGGATCCGCATTCTGTAACAACCCAGCATTGACATATTGGCCAACCCCTTGGCAAGCTTTTAACTCTCGCTTCACGTGTTAAATGATAGCGCCAAGGAACTGATCGATTACCCTTTCTTAAAAACGCATATTTGCAAGGAACACCAAAGTTCACAAAATCGGATAATTTTTTGAAACCTGCTTGCTTGCATACCCATTGTCTTTGTCATTGTTGCCCCGAGCTCCAACCCCGTACCCTTCTATACCACTTATGACAAAAACGTACTCCTTTCGTATAACTTCCATTTAAGAATGGTGCTCCTTTCTCATGCCTAGCTATGCCTACTAAGAGTAGTCTTCCTTTCAGGATATGAAGAGTTTAATAAATTAAAATGATACAGCCATTATGTGCGTCTGCTCGAAATTTTTTAACTAAAGGCCTTTGACATTCTTGGGAGGTGACCCTGTTTTCCACCTTCGTTTCTTGACCCATTCCGCCTGCCAGTGTGACGTCAGATAGTAACGGGCAAGAGCCTCGGGTCCCTTGTGCAAATTAGCAAGGGATTGGCCACAGTTATTAGGACGAGCGAGGTCGAGGAAAAGCTAAGAGGCCAGCAAATATCGCTATATATCGCTATCTTGATTGTAAGTGTGTAAGCTTTGTCGTTGCTATTATCTGCTTGTGTAAACCGTTTTGATATTTTGTGTCCGCAATTGTATAATTTTGTTAATTTGTTTTGCGGTCCGTGTTGCGGGATCGCTATCTTTTTCACGGGACCGGCAAGGTAATCAAAACTTAAACCCTTTTTTTGTCTAAACTAGGCGAGGTCTAGTCTTCAGAACAGGAGGTTCCATTCACGGATCACACATGTTTATATTTCATTTACTCTTTCGCTAATTTAACCGACCTAACTTCATATCAATCCTTTCGAGTGTGGGCCTCTGTTGATTTCCTAATTCGCCACCAAATTCAGTAAAGCAACAGTAAAGCTAGTTTGATTGATTATCTAAATCGACCGACCCGTTGAACCGGAAATAATGCGAAATAGCTTTGAAATACGCGCTTAACCGTGACCAGCTTCAAACAGCGTCTATGGCAGAGAAAAAATGGTTTTGATATAACAAAATTTAAAGGAGTTGCTTGCACGAGTAGATGAACCGGGTTCGATTCCTTTCTGTTTCTTTGTACCGTTTTTTTTTTCCTGTTTAGTCTTTGTTTTTTAATCCTATTTTTCCTTAATTTTGGACTGTTTTTCTTTATTCTTACTGCTGACCCTGCTGATCTTGCACTTTGATCAATATTTCTTTTAAGTTTAAGTCCGGATTTTTATTTTGGAAAAGGGATTTCAAGAGCTCTTGATCTGCATATATAACTGGCCAAGCCTACGGCCAGAAAAAACCATAAGCTGTCTGAAAGAGCTATATGTTAGTTGACATCATAACAAACAACACACAGTACACCACAAACGGCTGTACTAATTTACACCCGACACCGACTTGCGAAATTTAAACTTCAAGCGCTTTTTGTTCATTGTCTTAATCACAACAATATTATTACCCTGAAATCTCCACTGGGTTTACCCAAAAACAATAATTAAACGAAAACTTTCATTGGTTTTCGGGATTTAATTACATAATTACAGGTGCCTAGTACAGTATTAAAATGCGTTAAAGCAACAAGATTCGCTGCTCACAGTCTCTCACAACTGATGCTTGTCATTTAGCTTCCTTTTTCAATGCTACAGCTAAGCGAACTTTGAAAGAATTGACATGGGGCTCCATTAGCTGTGAAGAGTCGAAAATACGCACAATGTAAAGTATAATACATCCTTTGATGAACCTCCTATTGCTGTGTCTAAATTCCTCAATCTTGCTTTGCACTGGCCCTCAAAAGTGAGCCGGTCGGTGTGATTACCCCTAAAATTTGCTCGAAGATAGAGAGGAATCTTTAAAATTCATTACACCACTGGACGTTTCATTCCAATAAAGCACGAAAGTCGAAAGTCTGGTTTTCTATGACAATAGGGATCTTAAAATCTCCAAATCCAAGAAATCAGAACAGTATTTCAGTGATTAATTCGAAATTTTCATTCGTCTCTTCAATGAACACTTTGCTCGCCATTTTCAAAGTCACTGACACCAAACGTGACGTCATACTGGCAGACTGGCTGAGCCACCGATTTCCTTGGAGACACCTTCCCCCGGTCCCCTGAATGACCCATTTCCCTACCCTTTCATACACCTAACTGCAAGCGCCTTCATATGTAGTACCTAAAGGAGTGATGCTAAAGTGCGCTTATCGTCGAGTAATGTGAAAATGTTACCCCCTAAGCTTCCGGATACAGTTATAAATGTCGATATCAGATTTGGGTAAACATGTTCCCCTAGCCCTACCCGCAACCCCGTAGGCAAAAACTGTGTATCATCAGCACCCTAATTACTCTTATTATCCTCTACCCGCTATTTTTATCTGCTCCGAACACTGACGAATATGCTGCATGGTGTGCGAGTCAGTAAATCCGCCCTTATTTGAGAGAATTTACTGCGATAAGCAAATTTAAGGAAATGATCAGAATCACCCCCTTTTACCTGCTGGACCCCTTAAGGAAACACTTGAAGTTGATGGGGTCACCGTGGTAGTGGGCTGTATTCCAAGAGCCGACATGGCTTCCACGATCAGGTTATGAGTATTTAGGAAACTGCGAAGAAGCCACGTCGACGAAAAGGTGAGAACAGAACCATCGTGACTTACAACTTTGTCATTTAGGGAGTAAAAATGTTGCTTGTTACGATCGCGACTTCTCGAGAGAATTAGCAATGCAAGTGAACCTGCTTGGCATGCATACTATCTCAAGACTGGGAAACCAAATTCTTTAAAACCACGAGAAGTGTGCTTCATTAAGAGAAACTTTTCGTTATCTGCGAGAGGTTATTGAGGGTCATGAGGAACGTCTTGGACTAACAATCAAGCCAAGAAAATGTCGCGAAGTTAGTTAAATGCAGAAAAAGTCACTGATCTAAACTCTGGAGACACCATCGCGCGCGCACTTTTTAGAGCGATGTCGTAAGAGCTACTCGGAAATGTACCAAAAAGCGTTGGCCAAGGTTGGCCTTCTACCAAATGCTAAGAAAACAAAAAAATAATTTTTAACCATCTTGTTGATAGTGTACTTTAAACACGAGACGATGAAGTAATTGAACCTGTTGGATCTGACGTCAGAGGAAAGATTTCAACTTGCAGAGACTAGATGGCTTGCAATGAAACGACAAAAGCGTAGACCTTAAAGCTACCACAATCAGCAAAGATCAGACTGTTCAAAGCAACTGTGGAATCTGTCTTGACTCTACCAGAGTGAAACGCAGCCCTTGGCCAAAGAGATAGTCAAGAGAAAATTGACGATGGATGCTACATCCCCTTAACCAGATTATGTTACTGCGAACGGCCCTGAATGTGCACTCAGGAGGATCTCAGTGAAAGAATTTGTGTGAGAAGATAAAGAATAGCATGTGCTCGTCGCAATGAAGCTTGCTTTTGCTCTATGTTAAAGTAATGAAAAAAAAAAAAAACAGATAAAATAAATAAATGAACAGATGAATATATAAATAAGTGATCTCATACATTACCGAAATCTGAACATCATAAGCACTGTCTCCCGTCATCATAGCCCTCTCAAATTTTACGCTAGAAAATCCATCAGCTTCTTTTGCTTCAATAAACACAAGGTTTTGTGATGCATCCTTTAGTGGTGTTTGTGTGCCAGTACTCCAGTAATCCTGTCCGGTAAATGCAGCAACAAAGAATTACCAAGAATTATCCTTACTTTTGACAGTATTATAGTGTTTTGTTGGTAGAAATTCTGATTTGCATCTTTCTCCTTAATTTATCTACGACGCCTTATAAGACGCATAGATAACAGAACCGAATACAAAGAACTGACTTGGTTGGGATGGGACATCTGTTAAAAATTCATAACCTTTTAAGAGGTTAAAACGATTTTTCTTTGCCTTCTTTACCTCAACTATCAGGCAGTATTTTGTTGTACAAAGTTTTGAACATTTCGGCGTCATTTCTATGGTCCATAAGAGTATATCCTACAAACCATGGAAAATTGTTGTTGATTTTTTTTTTTACAATAACCAGTTTTGACGTTCATTTCGGTTAAAGTTTCTTGGAACATCGCGCGCGGGAAAAAAGAGAAAAGCAAATGGTGTAGTGTCACCATCACAGTCAGGTTACCATTACGTCATTTCCATGGTCTGTACTCGTATCGACCATATAACTCTCGACCAATCAGAAAGCCAGAAATTGCTCATTCATTGTGAAAACTAAAATCTTTTTTTTCTTTTTTAGCAATTTTCAAGAAAAAGAAAGTTGCTGG